CAAGACCGTTGCTGTTACGCACGGCCGTCCGCCGGTAAATAAATAAAAAGGCCCGTCATTTCGCTTCAACAATTACCGGCCGGCAGAAAAAACGAAATGTGTATCCCTTGAATTAACTTCTTTTTTTCGTCTCTCCCTCCCTCGCTCTCTCTCTCTCTCTCCCTCTCTCTCTCTTTCTCCCCGCATCGCCTTTTATAGTGCGCCGATATATCCGAGCTTGTTTGCGGACTGTTACGAAATCATGCGCGTTCCATCGGCCACGTTCAGTGTACACATTTTAATGTCGGCCACAGCCGCGCCGGGAGCCGCATAAAAATCATTGATACCGTTCAGAGAACCCGTCGGCCTGTGACCGACGCTCGCCGACACAATATGTATATGTAAAAAAGAAGAAAAAAAAGGAAAATACGGGGACTGTCGTAATTGCCGGGGAATAATTCATAATGACTAAAAAAGAAAAAGAAGAGAAGAAGAAAAAAAAAAGAAAAATGACGCGCGAGCCAATTACCTACGATAAAAATAGTTGTGCAAAAGCCTTGGGAAGTTATAATCTCCGGCGTGCGATTGCTGTAATTACGGTTGCACATTACATAGTTGGACGTCGAAAAGAAAAAAAAAAAGAAAGAAAACACGGTTCGGCATTTACATTGGATAAGTTTCGACGTATTTTACGTAACGCCGACGGCGACCAATGTTGATTATCTCTTTTAATCGTTCGTCCAACCGCATTTCTAGTTCTCCGCTCGGAATAACATTTACATACTCTCTGCAAGTTTAAACTCGGCTCGCTCGCGAAAATAACGCCGCGCGACAGCGCCGCGATGCGCCGATGCTTCTGTCGTTTCGAGCGCACTTTCGAGCACCGATCGCCGCGAATCGTGCGTTATTATTAGATATTTCTCTGGCATCCAGTAGCAACGACAACGACAACGACAGTCATTTATTCGCAGCGTTGTTCGCACAGAGATCGTACACAGTAATGTCTCCCTTACTGACGCTCAGACTTACTCCCTTACAGACACTAAATTGGATAATTTGGGAAGAGGAGATACGATTATTCGAGCCTCGCGGCTCGTTCTTATAATCGTGGACAATTTATAACTATAACAATAAACCGCAAGGCTCGAACGATCGTATCTTCTCTTCCCAAATTGTCCATTTTTGTGCGCAATCTGGGCGTAAGTTAGGAGACATTATCGTTTTTATAGTTAAGATTTGTCAACAACTATAAAAACGAGCTGCAAGGCTCGCATAATAATCGTAATAATAATAATCGTATCTCCTCTTCCCAAACTGTCCATTTTTCTGCGCAATCTGGGCGTCAATTAGAGAGACATTACTATCAATCAATCCGAATAAATCGAAGCCAAACGGAAGCCGATCAAATTCGCAAATTCCCTAAACAACGGCTACATTTTCCGAAATCGGGACCGCAAAAATGTGGATTCCGGCCGGTTTCTCGGCTAATTGGCCGCGGGGACGATATCGCGGAAACAATTGGTTCGATTGCTTTAGAACGTCCCCCCTGCATCGCGTACATGCCACGTCCGCCGTTGGAACAGTGTCAAACATATCAAAAGTGGATTCACCTCCGACGATCGGTCGCCGAGACATCCCCCGTATGTGTCTCTCGCATGCAACCCCGGTTCCCGCGCGTGATAGAACATCCGAAAGTGGTGCCGTATAACGCCTTTCGCCTATCGCCTGTCGAACTTCGTCGTTCCTCCGTCCGGCGGACAAACACGGCTGATACAACAAGAACTGCCTTGTATCAAGCGATCTGGAACGGGCGAAGATAAAACGACCGGCGAATCGCATGTCACCGGGACGTTTCGATCGCTCGTAATCAATTTCGGTGGTTTCGTGGCGCGATATCGCGTCCGCCGATTGCCCCGGGAAAAGTGTGCAACATCGCTGTCAGACCGAACCGATCCCGATCGCGAGATCGGTGAGGGGGCGGGGCGGGGGGCGGGAGGCGGGGGTGTGTTGAACGCCACCTCGATATCAGTGGCATGTCTCCGGACGGTTCCGGAACGAGACAGACGTTGTTTCTGTCCCGCGATCTGATAACCCCGGGCGACGCGAGGCGACCCCGGATGGCCGAAAGGTGGCCGCAAAATTTCCGCGAGCTTCGGGCGAATCGGTTCCCGCACGTTCGCCGATTGTTTTCGAACGCCTGTTAACCGTATGCGATCCAAAGTGTTCTCTTCAGAATTCATTTGAGAATTTGCTAGAACGCGATCCTAAGCAACCTAACTGGAACTAGAACTGCTACAACGGTTTTGCATACCGCATCGTTGCGTAATTCGCCGCGTAACTTATACTTAGAATATAATGCGAATCGAGGAAATCAATTATTCATGCAAAAGTCAATGTCGATGCTGACTCGACAGAAGAACGCGAAGGGTTTAACGTTGTCGCGATACGCGAAAATGCGAGGTAGGAGGATCCGGTATCGGTTGTTGCACCGAAGTCCGTCGGGCGACCTCGGCGCATCGGAACCCGACGAGCTCTGACGGAGACACCTCGGTGCTCGTACACCCTCCACGCCCGCGGTATTTACTTTACTGCTTCACCGGGGCAGCTTCGACGGAGCCCTCGAATCGATGGAAACGAGGACGCGCGGCTGCGAGGATCATCCCTCTGACAAATTGCGTTCCCCGCGGGGAAGAGCGGAAGACCGAAGGAACGCCGTTGGAACCGTGTTGGCACTGTTCGTTAATTACACGAGACATCGCGGTAGTCCCGAGCCGTGGAACGCGAAATGGCCCGTCGATCACGAGCGAACGGGACCAACGGGGCCGGGGACCCACGGTTTCCCTTCGCCGGCAGCGCGCAGCCATCGCACTCGCCGGAGATGCACGGATAACCCGGCGGGACGGTGGTCGAATTTAACAAGCAACCCTGTCAGGGACATCGGCGGAGGACGTGGCATAGAACCGACGAAATTCGCGGCGTCGTCCATGTGCGGTCCCGCGGGGTGTAACGGGGCGAGCCGGGCCGATGCGTAGGAGCGGCATGCGCGTTGGAGAAGGATGGGACACCATCGATGGAATAGGTGTAATCGTTTAACGCGCACGATGGTATCTGCCAGGGCAGCGCGGGCTGGGCTTGTTAACGCCATGCTGGCTGCGCGATTGGTCGCCGGTCGGCGCGAGTGGGCGGGGCGTCGGGTCGGGGTGGGGATAGCGGGAGCTCCGGGGGTTTGGTTCCCCTCCACGCACCTTGTTGCGTCTGTATCGGCCACACGCACAATGCGGCGTCCCGATCTATCGTCTGTGTGGCACGATAAACGTGGCCGGGGGGTGGGGCGGGGGCCGGTCGGCACGGTCGCAGGAGCGGGCCGCGACGAGACGTGGCACAGGGCTGGGGTAGAAGGTGGCGGCCGGTCTGACGATCCCGGCGCGAGGTTACTCCTCTATCGAGGAGGTGAGTCCACCACCACCGGCGCCGCTACCACCACCGATTCGTTCCGATCTATGCCACGGTCTCCTGACTTATGCTACGCCCGGCAGGGCCGCCAGTACACGATACGCTTCTACCAGGCGAGCACCGGGCTCTCTCTCCGTTGCTTCGCTTCTCGCCTCTGCCTCTGCCTCTGCCTCTCGGTCCCGGTACCGGTCCCGGTCCCGGTCCCGGCCCCCGCGAACCCGCGTTTTTCTCCACCGCGACCTGTCACACCGGGAAAAATTCTCCGGCGAGGGGAGAGGGAACAGCAGGCTGCAAGGAGAGGGGGGCGGCCGAGGAGGAAGGGGGGAGCGAGTGTCGGTGGGCTCAGTTTCCGCGCGCACGTGACGCGATACGCGGTACGCGATCCGACCGAGAAGCCGCGTCCCGCGTTTTCGACGGCCACCGCGAGTCGATCATCCCCCGTCCGGTCCGGTCCGCGCGTCCGCCCGGCTTCCCTCTCGCGTGTCCCGGAACCCGCGTGTCACGTGACCGCGTCTGTGAACCGTTCGGCCGCCGAGTGATCCAGGGAAACAGAAGGATACCGCAACGCCGCAGTGAGAGTGTTTTATTTTTCGAAAGGTGGTTCAGTGATAAGGGGATAGATATCTATATATATATACCGCGGGTGAACTACGCCGGGTCGAACGAAATGAGCGCGTCGCAACACGCGCATCCAGGCCTGCGCGATCCTCGCTCCTCGAGACCGATCGTGGCGGGATCGTGATCGCCGGCGCTGCGAACATCGGCGCGCTGTTTCATGACCGCGAGAACGGCGATCGCGACGGTTTCGATTTGACACGGCCAGTGACAGTGAACTTGCGATTGCCCGCGGGCCGGACGAACGCGCGGCGGTGGTGTCTCTTGCCCGAGGAAATGAGCTCCGGCCACGGCGGAGATGCGACCGCGGCCCGTCGCAGCACCAAACTGTCGGCCAAGCACCCGTGACCACCACCCCGTCGGTTCTAGTGCGGCAAGTTCTTCGCGGTGATAGTAGCAATCGTCGCGATCATCATCGGACGAACAGCGAACTCGGTTGGACGCGAGCCATTCGCGACCTCACCGACGCCACAGACTGTTGTTAGCCGGCGAGGATCCGCCGCCGCTGGATCAGCAGCGCCCAGTCCTCGGATGCGACCTGTGAAAGCGATCGAAAGCGAGCGGAACACGAGGTAGACGGAGTTTTTCCCCGTTTCCCGCGAGGCCCGGCCGCGAAAAGTGGCAGAGTTGTTCGTTATCAGGGAACAGCTGTCGCAGCTGCATCGTCTCGAGGCACAGCACCGGGATCGGTCGACGAAAGCTCGGCGCCGGCAGCTGGTCGACCCGTCAGTGACAGACGACGATGACGTAGCGTCGCCGGAAACGAAGGGCGTCACGGTCTGCACGGTGTACGCGCTGGACAGGACCGCCTCGGCGGGGCTGGGGGTGGTTGGGGGTGTCGTCGGTGTCGCTGGCGGTGGAGCCGCGGCCGGAGGAGGAGGAGGCGGCGGCGGCGGAGGCGGCGGCGGAGGAGGAGGAGGAGGGGGAAGTGGCGGCGGTACCGGTAGCACCGTCGGGGCTGGAGTGCAGGGGGTGGTCGCCGGGATTTGTGGACCAGCGAGCGCGTCCCTCGCGGCGGCGACGGATTACGTGACGCCGGCATGCTATCCCCCGGGATCTCAGCTTGCCCTGGCCGCCTCTCACCCTCAGCCCCACGTCGTTGATCCCGCGATGACGCCCACCTCGGCGCCGGTGCCGACACCGACCACGGCGTCCGGACCCAACAACCCGGTCGCCATGAGCCAGCTGGGGACCGTTTACGCCACCAAAAGGAGACGCCGGAACGGAAAAAGGTTGGTACCACTAGATCTCCTCCCCTCTACCCCATTTGGCGGACGATGCACCGGGAGCGGACGATTAGAGCGGTTTAGAATCCTCGTCATCGAACGAGGATGACGAGGATGACGAGGTTGACGAGGATCGTAGCTATGGTTCTTCGCGACGTAGGGGCGCGGGGAGGCCTTGGCTTGCAATCTCTTGTTGCGAAAGGCGAATTATAGCGTTCTGTGAGGTGATAGACAGATCTAGGATGGAGCTATAAGCTAAAGAGCACCTGCGAGCGCAGCGCCGTTGATCGAGGCGTGTTTCCTCGAAGTCTCGTAGCATCGGCGCGAGCTTAGGACGAGTCGGGAAATCCCCGCTTCGGGAAATCGTCGAAGGAGAAACGGTGGTTGTAGGGCGCTAATTTGTTGGTCATTGAGGAGGACGATAGCGACGGAGTATCGTGACGCGGCGCATGTACAATTCATGGGGCTAAAGCCGGCGCTAATGGGATCGGCGTAGGGATATCGCGCGTGAAGCACGTTCGATGACGGACTTAACGTCCCCGTCGCTTCGGAGACATACATTTTACCCGATTCCGCCTCCCGGACAGGCTATAGACGGTGTTTTTCATACGTGGCTTATTGATTATGCGCTAACGCGACACGCCGCGTATCTATGGATCGTAAATTTAGCGCGCGTACACAGAACGCCCATTATTGCCGGCGAGCCGGCCGATGGGTGCACGCGCGGGCACCGCGATTTCTATAGATCCCGATGTCCCGGTGCCTCGAGTTCGAACGAAAGCCGTGTGCGAGCCAGCCGCAATTAAAACGGCCGGGCGTCTTGTTAGCCGAGGTGTGCTCGCCGGTTTATGGCGTCTTCGGTGCCGTTCGAGACGACGCGCGCGCGAGCTCGACGAAAGGGGCACCGGAGGATAGACGATAGGCCGGGAAATACGCGGGTCCCCGCGGCAGAAGACGCGCGGCCGCGATGTTATTTCGCATCGGGCGAAAGCTCGCGATCCGACGATCTGAAATCTCGAGCCGAGCGCTGCACGCGGAAACGCGCGCGAGCGCGAGTGCGAGGCGCGCTTTGTGCGCGACACTCGCGCGAGTATCGGGGATCGGACTCGCATAAATACGGCGCGCCGTTCCGCGGGACACACGATACATATACGCGTGTAGCGTTCGATGCATCAAGAGAAAGATAGACCGGGGATAACCGGTGCTAAGCTGACAGAGACGGAGTGCGGCACTGATTGCGAGGAAGGGGAGGGCCCGGCACCTCTGCCGGAGAAATATCCGTCTGAAGTTCGCTCGAATCGTTTGCATACGTTGCTCGTAATTAGCTGAGATATAGCTGAATGAACGCGTCCCGGCTCTCTCTCTCTCTCTCTCTCTCTCTCTCGGCCTTCTTCTTTCCCCCCGCCACCCACCCCCCTCTGCGGCCCGCGGTGTTTATCACTACGGAGATTGTGGAAACGCGCGCGGGACGGTTTACAAAGCGTCGCCGGGCGACCGCCATTTTTACCAGTTAAGGATCGGCCGGGACGGGGAATCAGCGGATAGACAAAGAGAGGCCCGGAACAGCGACGATTACCCGGGACGATTACCCCCGCGGGGCCCGCGCGGACGATTTCCCTCCGCGATTCGTGCGATCCCGAAGGTTCCCGAGCCGCGGGGAGAACCTATCGACCGGGTTTTTACAATTATAATGGCGATTGTTTATCGACGAACCGGGCTGCATATTCATGACCGTGCCGCCGGCACCGCGAGCCGGCATAAAAAAGACGCGTGACATAATCGACTGATAGGGTAATTTAAACCAACAGTGCAGTTTTATTGTAACGACTCACGTTCTCCTTCCCCCGTCTCCCATCTCCGCCGCCCTCCCCCCTCCCCGGCCGCGTTTTACATTCGTCGATATTTATATTTCGCCGGCGCGTTTTCCCGGCGAGTAAGTCAACATATGCTGTCGCGTGCGGTGAAATATGTTTCTCGCCGTCCGGCCCCGGCGACCGCCGCCACACGGAAATCCGATTTCGAGCAGCACACTAGTTTTGGGGTCAGCCGGCGAGATAACGAGTCCCGATCCGAACGAATTAGCCGATCGTCGTGCCCGCGCCCGCGCGCGCCTCGGCCACTTATCGTTCGCTCCGGCCTGCCGAGGGAACAAAGGCGACAGACAGGGTTGATCCGCTGATCGTTCGTTCCACGGTCCCTCGACGATCCAGGAACACGCGTCACGTTCGACGATCGACGGGTCCGTTCGCGGAGCTCGGCCGGCGTTAGAGCCGCGATCGGCGGGGATCACGGACGGGCATAATGGAGTTTTAAACGGTGTTCCGAGGTGTACCGGCTGTGCCCCTTTGATACGATAAAGAAGAGAGGAAAGAACGAGACGGGCTATCCGGCAGAGAGCGGCCCCGAGGCGATCCGTCTGGCTCGTTCCCCGCTCGTTCTTCGACTCCCTCGGCTTCCACGGGGCCGGCGAGTCCTTCCCTCGGGCTGCCTGCCGATCCTAGGCCAGCGGATCCTTAAGGATGCGTACGCTTCTCTGCTCCCAACCTTCCCCGTTCGCATCCCCGTTGCTTCTTCTAGGCTCTACAGTGCGATTTATTCGAGAGACCGCGGAGCTCGGTCGTCGAATCGCCGCGGAACACGGTCGCGAACGTCCCGCGCGCCACGAGCCGTTAGGTTCTGGAACGGCGAAGCCGTCTGCAATCAGTTCCATCAGCGGAACTATCGGGAAAGTGTCGGTGTCTGACGGGCTGACAGCGATCCGTTTGATCGCTAACGATCCGGCGAGCGGAGGGGCGCGCGCGATGCGGCCGGGCGAGTTTCCCAAAAATTGCCGAGGGTTCGGGGAAGAAGATGGCCCGCGTTACACGGTGCTCGCCGTGGCCTAATGACAGCAGCTTCTATAATTTGGAGTTTTCGAGCGAACGGCCAAATTACCGGCGAACCGAGGGATTACTGTTATTACACGCGGCCGCGGACTCAGTCGAAACCTGATTATACTTTAGTCAGTCTCTCTCTCGAACCTCGGACTCGTTCGACTGTCAGAGAAGCCCGCTCTCGTTCGGCCGGGGCCCCCCCGATGTCTCGGGGCCTTTCCGCGCGCGACCCTTCAACCGTGCGGCCCGCCGCGTTCCGCCGAATTTTACCGGCCGATCGTTTTCTCTGTCCGCGCGTTTCACGCGGCGCGGCGCGACGCGACGCGGCGGTAGCTAATCCGTTTCCGAACGCTTCTACAATCCGGAGCGCGGCTGGCTCCGCTCGGAAATCGATTCCGGCCGATTCGAATCCGGGACGCTGGCCGGGACGCTGTTGATTTCACGTTCGCAACAGGCGATCTTTTAATTACGCGGGGTCGGGGCCGAGGGTCCCGCTAACAGGCGCGCTCCGAAATTGCCGCGCGCGCGAGAGAAAGAGAAAGAGAGACAGAGAGAGATAGATAGAGAGAGAGAGAGAGAGAGAGAGAGAGCAGCTAAAGTACCATTCGCCGAGAGGTCGATGATTTCTTGATGGACAGCAGCCGTCGTCCCGGGTTTCGGCTGATTAGTTCTTAAGTAATTGCCGCGCGTCCTTATGGTCTTCTAACGTGCGTTTATAGCCTTGTAATGAACCTGCTTCCGAGACCTCTGCTCCGTTCAGCCGGCCCGGACCGATCTCCAGCCGGAGATCTCCTCGCTGTGCCGTGTTCCTCCGGGATCCTCGGCCCTCGTTCGACTGTCCATTAAACAGTCCTTAGCAGAGTCCGCGGCGACTGTGCGAGCCCGCCGCGCCCGCTTCGATTTTTCCGAGCCGAATTCCGTTCCGCGGCGGACCGCGGGGAAACCGCGTTGGAAATTCGCGAACGACCGATTCGCGCGGCGTAATCGGTTCGATTGGATTGCTGAGGGGGGGGCGAAAGGGGGAGGGGTAGAGGGCAAGCAACGCGGAGACCCGAGCCAGCCGGCGAGTGATTTACATCCTGAAAGCAGAGTGAGCCTAGCCCCGACGGGGAACGACGGTTAGATATCGTACGATCGGGGCAAGATTTAATTCCGTAGCCGAAGGAGGATATCGTTTACCTACTTTCTACGTCGCAGCGAGCGCAAGCTGTAATTTAATAGACTCCCCTCGCGTTAGCCGGCGCCGTGATGCGTTTCGCTCGTGCGAGAGATATGTATAGCCCGAGCCGCGACAAGACCATTATTGCTGGAACACTCATAACTCCCGTAACCAGCCACACCCAGCAGATTTAACACCTCGTATCCAATTATAACGATGCCCCGTGTCACGCTTATAATTGGTGTGCCCCATTACATATTGCACCCATCGCTTCCGAGCCTGGCCCTCTGTCTCGTCTTCTTTCGGCCGGGTCCGCGCGCGGCTGGGCCCTCGAACCGGATCATCAGAAATTTCCGATTCGCAACATTCGTCTGTCTGCGATCGTCTGCTGCTTCCGACAATGCGGATCGAGCGGCCTAAGATTGTTAACCGTTTGCGTACCAGATGGTTCTGGAAAAACAGGATCGAAAAGCGCCGAAGAGCGCAACAGCGCTCCTTCGATTATCTGTCGAAAAAAGCCGTAAAACATAAAATAAAACGTTATGAATGAAAATATATATAATACTACATGCGTCTGAAAGACTGAACACGTTTCGACAAATTTCGGGTGGGCCGTAAGTCGTCTGTTTCGGCCAAATGCCCTGGCTTTTCTCGACACAAAATCTGAAGAGCGCAAAAGTGGCTCGTGGTACGCAAACGGTTAACCCTTTGCACTCTCGAAGACACGTTAACTGGAAATTTAAATTAACTTTTCCGGTTTGTGGTATTTCCATCTTAATGACAAAGCGCATTTTATGCGCGTGAAATCGAGTCTTGTGACTCGTACAACAGTTAGACTTTTAACAATTCTTTGTACGTAGGCTTTGTTATTGTGAACATTATCTTGGAACGTGATGTAAGAATTTTCGCGGTGCCTCGGAGTCACCGCTCGAGTGCAAAGGGTTAATCCTTAGCGGACGAGAAGCGGCTCTCGG